TTAAAAAGGCACGTGAAAAAATTTAATAAAAAAGCACGTGAAAGAAGTTTAAAAAAAATAATATAAAAATAAGCAACTATAAAATTATACATGATTCTATGAAAAAAATCACGTTAAAGAAACTTAATAAAATGCACCTGAACTAAATTTAAATAAACCAATAAAATTAGGTCATGAAAGAAATTGAAAAAAAAAAAGTATAAGCCGATAGGAAACGTTGAAATTGGTGAAGGAAACGGACAACTGATCAAGGATATGAAAAAGTGATTAAGGAAACGAAAAACTGATCAAGGACACGAAAAATGTGATCTAGGAAACGAAAACCCTGCTACCCGAAATAATACCTGTAATTTTATAGATACAAATTGCGATACCGTCTTCATAAAAATCAAGATTTAAAAGTATTCATCGTTAATAAAACTGAAAATGTCCTAAAAACATAAGCTGTTTCTGAAAATTATAAATAAGAGAAACAGATCAAAATTTTCCGTAATATAAATATTAAAAGTAATCTTTCTATAAAAATTTGAAAATTCTTTACAGAAAGTTAAAAAAAAAAAAAAAAAAATTCTTGCAGTGATCCTAGAATAAATTCCAGCATTTCTTTTGCATAAATGTTCTTGATACTCATACACATTAATAAGTTAGCACGTAAATGTTTTGGAATACAAAGCATGAAGGTAATATAATTACCAACTGACAAAATGAAGAAGAAGAAAAAGAATATTTTAGAGAACTTTCTTCTTCCAGAAAGTAAATATTTTTCTCAAAAAGCTCTTAAATCGGAAATCCGCTTAAGACTTCCTCCTTCTTTTTTTATTCTTAGATTTATCTCCGAGATATCTGAAATAGCAAACATTACCTGTGTACTTTTTTTCCCCATCCTAGCATGAGCAAGAGACTCGCTTTTTAGTTCTTTCCAACTAAACCCAGTTCAGATTAAAAGATGTCTGTGTTTGCTTTGCTTCTAAAAGACCTTCATAATTTATAAGAAGAGTAAGAAAAAAAAATATCTTTATTGAAGATAATTTTTAAAAAAGAATGTGAGTGTGTATAAACTGTTATAAAGTGTGAATGCAGTCATTTTTTTTATCTTAGTGATATGGTCACACAAATAGATTTTTCAATGGCGTTGAAATAAAATATAGAGAAAAACTAAAATTGTACACACAGAATAATTTAAAAAAAAATTATTCATTGAATTCAATGTGGTTAAAAATGTCTTATCAAATATTCGTTGGTTATTAAATATTTTCTAAAGCATACATTTACGTAGATTTATTTTTCAATATATGGAAATACTTTAGAATTACTCTGAATGTAAATAAGTTCTTGAAAACTATTTACTGTAAATATACCTATATATAGTAAAGTTTATGTTCTTTTATGAACAACACAGTAAATATTTTACACCGTATATTTAGAATATTTTTAATGATTATATAAAAAAATATATACATAATGATTAATGATGATCAGCGAAAAAAATTAACATTTCATATGTGAAATGCATACATGGAAACGTAATAAAATACACATTAATAACTAAGAAACTATCTCTCTTTCACTTCCTTATAAAAAGCACTAGCTTTTGAGTATATCAAATTTACATAATTCGCAATTGCTCGTAGTTACAGTTAAAATTATTTTTAATTGAATAAATAATTTAGAATTATTCATTTAAAAAATTAATAGATGATTATTTACACTCAGATTCCATTTGACAAAATTGGGAATTTCTTTAATTAACATAAATTATTTATTATGCTAATGATACTAAATATTCAATTTTATTTTGATATGATAAACTTGAAAATGGAAAATCAATGAAATCTAGAAAATGTTTTGACAATAATTTTCTTGAAATTTTCCAGTTGATGTATAAATTTTATTGTCCACGGAACGTTTGTAATGACATTGGGGAGAGTGGGGGACCCTGTAACCCTGGTTAATTCATTAGTCTTCTCTTCATTTTCAATTTCTCGTCTAGACCACATATCATTGTGATCCATTAACTTCATGAGATAAGCATTCTTTTTGTTTTAGTTCTATGGTTAAATTTTAATTTAACTAACAATGTTTTATTTTTGTCACTTGATTTTAAACTCCAGATGTGCTTTGTTTTACTACAATATCAGATTTCTGTCCAGCGTGTTTTCCGTGCTTGGCGACTAGTGTCCTTATCAAAAGGTGATACTTGTGATTAAGTTCTAGGGGAATTGCAGCTTTTGTTTGATAAAATCATTTATTTGGTCTCCGCTACTAGTAGACGGGAGATACACCTCCGTTTCCGGGTGCATCAATTGTCTGGCAACTGCCAGTCCTTCGGATCTTTAGTTGATTCAAGTTCAAGCACTGGTTCACTTTCTAGTCAACTACCTAAGGGTGCATGCCGAATAAGGAGGTGATCGTGACAGTATATGTGCGTACCAACATTATTTCAGGAATATGCTTTTCCTTGTTTTTTTAAATAACTATAAAACCTTTCTATAAAGATACTAGAAAACTTTGCCTTACTTCCTCTAATTTCTTATGTAGAAATAACAAAAAAATTAAAGAAATAAAGAGTATTTAAAAACTAAAGAAATAAAAAATATTTAAATTATTTTCTACAACATTTTATTTCTGCTTGAATCGATATTATTCACTGTTTTTCGCAGTTTGGCTGAAAATGGCCCTTGATCCATATACCAACACCTACCACTGCCTCATAAAGAATAATTATATAATTTGTATACGAACAAATACCCATCTTATTTATTCAAAACGATTTTGCATTTATTAGAACAACAATGGCTAACTTGTAAACTTAATTATTTCAGAAATTTCGAATAAATTCTCTGAAAATTATATAATTCTAAATAAGTAAATTTTTTTCATTCATAAATCAGGATCAATCTTTGAATAGATGGTTCTATTAAATTTCTACATTTCAGAATTTAGTTTTAACATAATATAGTTATTTTTATTTAATATATAGTTATTTTTCATACATTTAATCATAAAAATAAGTGTACAAAATCAATTTGTATTAATTTTTAGTTATAATTTTAAATGCATGTCCTATATTAAGGCATGGAGAATTCCGTACCTATTACGTCTAAGTAGTTAGCATACAAGATGCATGATCCCCGAACTCTGAGTTATCGCACACGACTGCATAGACATCCAGCTAATCCAGTTAATTAGGTTCGAATTAATTATGTGTGCGCCACAACTGATGCCACAGGAATGTTACTGCGGAGCAACTATTTGATCATTGTTTACCAGGCCAGGCAGATAGGCTTCCTTTCCATCGACTGCGGTCATCTTCATTTGCATGGAAGCGTCCTCCTTTTACATTAGTCATATGTTGAGATGACATCCCGCATGCTAAATATGATTGCTTGCTGAACTTTAATCATGATCATATTTTAATTATTTTGGTGTCGAAGTAGCATGCATTAAAAGTAGCCATGGGAATTTGTACTTCGAAAATTCCAAAATTTTGAAGTTAACCATCTCAAAAATTTGACAATATCATTTCCGAGAAATTCATGTTGCCATCACAGTTGTTGTCATAAAATGTAATTGTTGTAGTTCATGTTATGCCATGTATGTTAAAATCATATTGTTGTCATAAAATGTTTCATGTTCCCATGATAAAATTTTGTGTTCCCGTCACAAAAATTTCATGTTTAAAAATACTAAAATACATCTATCTTTTTCAAATTGTTACTCGTCCTTTTCTGTAATAAATATATTAAAAAATACTTTTATTATTTATCTAAATAGTAATAAGCTGGATGTTAGTAGGCTTTCTTTCAAAATGTAGGGTACAGTTTGGTTTAAAATGGGGGGGAGATAATATGCTTCATAAAGAGTTTCAAAAATATTTTGCATGTAGTTCTGAAATGTTTTCACAAAATCCACCTTGCGAACATGTAATTAAATCATTTCAAGCTGGAATAACTGGTATGCAGCTTATTCAACGTTATCTAAGTTGAAAATATTATCTAGTTGAGAGTATTTTGACGCACATATCTCCAATGTAGGTGGTTGCATTCAATGTAATATCTTTTTTAAAGCCAAATGAATGATTTCCAACCTACTGGTGGCCTGATGACCAATTGGCTAGCGTTCTGGTCTTTGGTGCTTCAGGTTAGAATCCTGGCGGTGTCATGGATGTTTGTTAGGGGTTTGGAAATCACTTTAAACTAACGCTGATTAGCCCAAAGTGTGCACAAAATTATCGTAAAATGGCAAACCAAACCAACCTATCGATTAGTATTATTCTCCAGCGTACACAAAATTTAATTTAATTTTAGTAATTTATGTATAATCGAATTCTGGTTTAAATTTCACATTTATATGGAGTTTAATAATTAAGCATGTTTGTTTAACAATAAAACAAATTTATTTTCTTCCTGTTGAACAACTATAAAAATATTCTTAATATAGAATTACAGGATTAAGTTATAATATTAGAAAGGCTAAATTAGATTCTTTAGCAGTTAATGCGTTTTTCCACAATAATAAAAATATATACATTAATGAAATGGATAGTATTCTCAATACTGTAAATGTTACAAAAACATATTAAACTGGCAGCTGGCGTACCGATTACGGAGTACCAACAGGGGGAAGTATCCCTTAAACCTCCTCGTCTTAATTCATAAATATGATTTAAATTTTAATTGGCTGCTTTAATGTTAGTAAAAATAAATAGAAGATAAAGTTTCTAAAATTCAATTAATTTGGTACTCAAAAGAAATTTTAAAAATACTAAAAATAAATAAAAGTTAGATACAATATAAAAACAAAAATTAAAAATAAAAGAATTTAAATTAAATTTAAATTCGGTACAAAAATCATGTAGCACACTAGATAGCCCAACCGACATTAAACGTTAAATGGACGATGAGATTCGAACCCACGCGGGGAGAGCCCAATAGATTAGCCTAGCCACTCGGCCACCTCGTCCTCATCAGAGTTCTAACCATTACACCATGGAACCTCACTTCCCATGCCGGGAATCGAACCCGGGACGCCTGGGTGAAAGCCAAGAATCCTAACCACATGGGAAATAAATGAAACCACATGGGTAGAAATTTTGAAACGCATGGGAAATAAATTAAAGAAAAATGTACAAGGTAAATAAATTCTTCTCTTTCAAATCGCTCCCTTTTTATGTTTAATTCAAGTGAACAAAAGATATTCCTTTAACTAATAAGGCAATTGTTTCTTTACGTTAAAATAAGGAAACGAATGCAAAATGACGATAAATATTTTTATTTAAGCCATCGATTAAATTTCATGTTGGAAGAGGCATTACTGTAACAATGTTTAAAAGCAATATGCAACGTTGTGTTGTTGTACAAAAGCATGTAACAATATTTCAATATAATACACAAAATGCAAGTTTATAAATTTATTATATGTGTGTTTATAAATTTACGGCCAACGGCCGTACCATGCTGAATATACCGGTTCTCGTTTAGATCACCGAAGTCAAGTATCATTGGGCGCGGTCAGTACTTGGGTGGGTGACCACCTGGGAACACCGCGTGCCGTTGGCAAATTTGGGACCTGAATGGCCGAGCGTCTAGCGCTCTGGCGCTCGGTGCCACAGGTTTCGGGTTCGAATCCCGGCGGTGCCATGGATGTTTGTAGTGGTTCGGAATCCACTTTAAGCTGTAGGATCCCAGTCTCCTATGACTGTAAGAGCGTCACGGAGCAAAAGTCAGGCTTCTACCTACGGGTGCTTCATCACAACAGAAGCTGCTTCCTTCCCCTTCAATCATGAGCACGTATGGGCTCGTGGGCTTGGCCAGCCAAGTGGGATAAGAAACAACAACAATAAATTTATTATATGTGTATTTATCCCTTGTATTTATATTTGTGTAATATGTATGTGTATTATGTGTATTTATTCATTGTATTTATATTTATGTATTATGTGTATTTCTTTATTGTATTTATATCTGTGTATTATATGAAATTTTGTTATTTTTAATAAGTTCGAGCTAAAAAAAAATGTTTAAAGTTATTGATAAAATATAAAGGGATCCTAAAACAAAAGCTAAGCTCGTGTCTTTAAAACCATCACAAATAGCACACAGAATTACATGAACATAAGTAAACATATATTCTCAAGAAATATTGAGTTCAATTCAGGGATTTGGGTATTATTTACATTGAAGAGGCTTTCACTGTGATTCAAGTTACTATTAAGACAATATTTAAATAATTTTATAAATTAGAGTATTGTTGAAAAAGTTGCCCTTAATAGGAGCCTGTGACAATAATATTAATCTGTATTGACGAATATGTATGCCACCAATTACAGAAATTACGTATAAAAATTTTTGCAACCATTTAAAGATCTTATAACTATAAAATTTACTTGAAAAATAAATACCTCAATTGATAATCAAAAACAATTTCCAGAACAATTTCTATAACAATCAAATCAACCATAAGACCTTCAGAACCTGAAAATAGTAAAGCATATAAAATGCTATAAAATACATTAGTGTTAAATAGATTAGTTAAATAAACATTGTGAAGCAAATTGCATGAATTAACTATTTCATATTTTTTGTTGTATATTAATATTATTATATTTTAATTCGAAATATTATCTTAAACATACACATAAAAATTCATCACAAAAATTCTTTATATATTAGTAGATAATTAAGAACATGGGATGCGAATACTTACACAATTTAACCTCTTTTATTCTTGCCCTTATTAAATTATTCTGACAAAATTTTGGACATTTAATAATAACAAATTATGTGAATTAATGAAAATCAAAATTGTTTGAAAATATTTGCATCTCCTACGATCACATAATGTTGTAAAAAAAGAAACTCGGTAAAAGAAAAGGCTATAAAAGAATGAGCAACAAAATCCAATAAGCAATAAAAGTCGCGGAGATTTTAAAACATACTACGTTGTTTTAAAATAAATTAATATCATAAATAATAAATAACAACATCGATTAAACATTGAAACAAAAGGGCACGAAAAAAATTTTTAATATTTTTCTTAATAATTTATGGCAATTATATATTCTGATCAATAAATTACGCACAGAAAAAAAATTCAAGAATTTTTATATTTCATGTAAATATCAATCATGCAACATTAGCAATATGTAGTAATACATATACATTTTAATAGTGTTTTTTCTTTAAAATGCTATGAAATTTGTAATAACTGTTAAGACTACTTAATTCTTATGAAATCAATAAACAAAAGATTTATTTGACTTGACCATATCTAAGAATCAAAGCCGTTTGAAAGCATATAAATACCATGTGGTTATAAATTGTTTAGGAAATAGAAACCCTTATAAAGAAATATTTAACAGTTTAAAAATAATAAATAAATTCTACAAATGACACCAACCACATAAACAATATACATTAATTGTACAAAACAATAATTAACAGTACAGAGTAAATTAACAATACAAGAAAATGTATTGTAAAATCTTGAAATAAATATTAAGCTCATAAATTAAAAAAACAAACATTAAATGGAACGTATTAAGTATCTATATGTAGTTTCTTAATATATTTTGAATTTTGTAAAGGTTAGGTATTAATTATTTATTATGTTCAGTGCAGGAAAATGTATTCTCAAAAGTCATTTACAATTATAAACCTTTATTCTGCTTTTACATTCTTTTTAATACTAGTAACACAACAATAACAGAATGTGAACATTTTTAAAAGATTTCGTTTTTGTTAATAAAGGCAGTTTGAAAGTATATAACTGTCATGGGATTATAAAAGAGTTGGAAATAGAAGCCCCTATAAGAAAAATAAAGAAATAATTAAGAGTTTAAAAATCTTAAAAAAAATCTGCAAAGGTCACCACCCACATAAGCAGTATACTTCAATACAAGAAAACGTATTGTAAAAGCTTGAAATAAATTTTATGTTCTTAAATTAAAAAAAAAATAAATGGAACAACTTAAGCGTTGTCATTTGAAATTTCTTGATATATTTCGAATTTCTTATAATAGTTATTAATTATTTATTATGAACAGCTCAGGAAAATGTATTCTCACAAGTCATTGACAATTATAAAACTTAAGAATTTAAAAATAATAAGCACATTCGGCAAATGACACTAACCACATAAACAGTACACCTCAATAAACTTCAGTACAAAAAAATGTATTATAAAATCTTTAAATAAATTAATTAATTAATGTTAAGGTCATAAATTAAAAAAAAATAATAATAAACGGAGTGAATAAAGCATTATCATTTGTAGTTTCTTGATATAGAGATTTTGAAATTCTTATAAATTATTTATTAATTATTATGATCATTGCACGAAAATGTATTCTCTAACTCATTTACACTTTCAAAACTTTACTACTGCTTTTCCATTTTATTTTATTACTAGTAACCCAACGATAAAAAAAAGTTAATATTTTAATAACATTTATTTCTATTAATGAATACTTTGAATTTTTATTTCCCTAAAAATAAATGAAGACATTTAATATTTATTAATCATGTGAAATACAGAATTCTGTGACACTATTGTGAAAATCCAAACCATTTGAAGGTTGAACGACCAGCATAAAATCATAAAAAAGTCATCTGGTTATAAGTTGTGTTTGAATTAGAAGCCCTCATAAAAAAGACAAAGAAATGTTTAAGTGCTTAAAAATCAGAAACAAATTCTACAATGTCACCAACGGCATAAACATTATACATTAATTGCACAAAACAATAATTAACAATAAATAGTACATAGTACATTAAAAATACAAGAAAACGTATTGTAAAATCTTAAAATAAATGTTAAGTTCATAAATTTAAAAAAAAAAAAAAAAAAAAAACTTAAATGAAACGAATTAAGCATTGTGATTTGTAGTTTCTTAATATATTTTTAATTTCGTAAAAGTTAGGTACTAGTATTAATTATTTATTATCATTAGTGCAGGTATGTGAATCCTCAAAAGTCAATTACAATTATAAAACTTAACGATTGCTTTACCAATTTTTTAATACTAGTAACACAACAACAATAATAAATATGAACATTTTAATAACATTTCTTCCTATTAATAAACACTTTAAATTTTTTGTCTCCCAAAAATAAATGAGGACATTTAATGTTTATTAATCATGTGAAATACAGAACTCCGAGACTTAACTTATTGTGAAAATCCAAACCATTTGAAGGTTGAACGACCAGCAAACTTCAAAAGAAAAAAAAAGAATTCCTTAAATAAAAAAACAGGAAAAAAATAAACCTTAAAAAGAGTTAACAAGCAGAAAGAAATTCCGCTAGCGACACCTACCACCTCCAACAATAAGTTTCCCAACTTGAAAACAGGAAAACATAAATTTCCTGCTTTTCCGCCTAAAACTCGACGTAACAAAGGCCAACTCCCAGCCATTTTCGAGGGAACGAACTGAGTATTCCGAAATACGCCATCCAACCTTTATGGCGAGTTAATGAGGGATGTATTCGAGAACGAGACATTGTTCGTCGGGCTTCGTTTTAATGGCTGTTCATAATGAATGGTGGGAGGGTTGTTACAACTGTTGTTCGGGACTTCGCCGGAGACCTTTTGGAGGGAAGGTTAAGTAAATGCACAGATGGAAAGGGAGTGAATGTTCGAAGATAACTGGGAGGTGGAGTGAGTTGTGTTGGGAGGGTTGTTTCGATGGAAGTTTAAAATGGATGTTTTATAGAGAGGCATTGAATATGAGTTTCGAAAATTAAAATTGAAAGAAAATAAGTCTTCTACCTCTAAAGCAAAAGCATCAAAAACGTTATTTGAAATGATCGAAAATTGTTCGACATTAAAAATTTCTAGTTCTGTAATGTATATTATGGGAAATTTATTTTGGTATTATCTTTGTACAGTAGGCTTCAAGAATTTAATAGCTAACATTTTTTTTTCTAAATGAGTGAATAATTCAGAAATGTTGTACATAAAAAGTTAGAAATTTTCGACAATATTTTCTGAAGAATCATTGGTAATTGTTTATGAAATATATATTGTTGTCCAACAGTAATCTCTGTTTCTAAATTAAAGTAATTACACAAAAATGATTTAATTC